ATACGAAGTAAGGGTTATGGAGTTTGTGGCGATGCCGGTGCCCATTGAACGCGTGTAACGATAGGCCGATTGCGTAGAAATCACTTCCGGCCCCTGGGATGGCTAGACTATGGGGCAGTGGTTTATCTATCCGTATGTCCTTGCTCATTATTATTAGGATTTATGTAATTTATTAATAATATACACGGTTATTTTATATAACGTTTAGATTTTATGATACTGTATAAGTTATACAGTATAACATTATTTTGTGAAGTTATAGAAAATATTTAATTTGACATAGTTATTGTGCAATAATACTAAAAAGTATACTCATTATAATTGCTATTTGCTTTCAGTCTAAATACTTAAAGTGTTTGTTTAGTTAATTTTTATTACTTAAGTCGTAAGCCCTAAGCAAACAACTTAAATCAAATTACTGTAATAAAGTCAAAATTAATGATATTTGTTACGAACGTTAAATAAATAGTATAAAAATAAAAATACAAACGCAGCGATGCATGAATGTAAATGTCAAAATACGGTATTATGAAAAAATAAAAATATAAAGCGAAAAAGTAAAAATGTTTTCGCCCGGGATCGAACCGGGGACCTTGTGCGTGTGAGGCACACGTGATAACCACTACACCACGAAAACCACTTGAGTGTAATATGTTATGTTCACAGAGTCTTGCCGTACGCTAGCATACTCTCCCTGATAAACTCGATACCATAGCCTTGAGCACTGGTAGTCTATCTAAATTAGGTCTGGTTTGCACTTTTCAATACTTATCTCTTGTTTTATCAAAACTATTAAGAAATTGAATGATGTTTTAGACTTGTTATTGAATTACTGTATAAAATGTTTGTACGCTATTTCATAAAATACTTTTAATGGTTTATTGATTTATAATTTTATTAAAGGCATAATTGCCATTATTTTATATTATAGTAAAACATTATTACAACTATTTTAATATAAATTATAGTAATTTATTTTAAAAATTATCGGTCAACCCATTACCATATATACTATTAGCCATTAGAAAGTCACTGAACTTCAATAGTGAGACCTTGATGATTGACCAGATAATTGACCAGGTTATGACCAGAGTATGTGCTACCAGTCGAAAGCTAATTATAAATATCCGAAATAATTAAATATTAATATGCCAAATTAATTATATTACAATTAATTAAATATAATTATGTTACAATTTATTGACCAGGTTATGACCAGAGTATGTGCTACCAGTCGAAAGCTAATTATGAATATCCGAAATAATTAAATATTAATATGCCAAATTAATTATATTACAATTAATTAAATATAATTATGTTACAATTTGTTTATAATTAAACGCAATTCCCATAAAACACACACAATAGTCATCGTGTATGCTATGAAAAGTGTGGACAGGCATCCCCTATAAAAATCACCAAGTGATATTTTCTTATCAGTCTTATCAGTGGTGGGCGTATATGTTGGTGTTTTCCCAGAACTTGCCACCCATTTCTTAACCATAACTCCTGTGGCCATTTGCTGAATTGCCTGGGTATGTGCCATTAAACCGCACTCAACGCTTAATTTAAAACTAAAAATGTAAAACAATTTATAAATATAAATACAAATTGGTTTAAAATATGTGGGTATATTATTTTACACACATGTTGGTAATGTTACGAAAATATCTATTATGCTTTGAGACCACAAAATTAGCATAGGTTTGACCATACTTATAAGTCGATGATTGC